TAGTGGTCTTCAGTGAGGGGATCATTCCAACCCTCTTCTGGTTCAAGGAGTCTTCCTTGAATCTCGTCCTCTTCGTCAGGTTCAGTAGCGCGGCGTCGTCGCGTCGACATGTTTACGATAATGTTTCTAGGAGCTCCTGCTTGAGGTCCTTGAGTTTGATGATGTTGATGTTGTGCAGGAGGACGAGGTGTCTGATGCTGAGACTGAGAATGACGAGCGTCTTGTCGGCCGACCCAGTTGTTGTGGTGAGTGGAATTCGGGTGGCGATAGTTGGATCGGGATTTGCATCGATCCGTTGAGTGTCCGAAGACTTTGCATATTTTGCAATAGTGGCGCCTTGGTTGTCGTCGCTCTTCACGGTTGTCTGCGTAGAAGGCGAGGCGCTCTCGGCGCGGCGCGGAGCTTGTTCTGCTCGAGTCCATGTCCTACTGTTCAGTCAGGAGAGCGGGGCATAGCGCGGCTTCTGAGATAATTCCTCGCTGTCGGAGTAGCGCTTTGCAGGGCTTCCACACTGGCCCGAGTCCTTGAAGGACTATGTTGACGAAGAACTCTTCTGAGATTGCGCTCCCATGCTTCGTGATCTGGTCACGGATATTTCGACAGCGGTTAATATAAGAATTCGCTTTCTCCCCATGCCCCATCTTTGTCTCCATGAGTTGCTTCAGGAGCCTGCTAGCGGTGACCGAGTCTTTCGGCTGATAAACCTCAACTACATGCTCCCAGGCTTCCAAGGCTGGAGCGGCGCTCTCTTTGTAGGAGCGAATGCTGAGTTGTTCCGCAGGCGTCATATTTCGTAGCAGCACGCTTTATGCCATGAGGGACTCGCTGTAGTACTAAGCCCTGGCGTCCTCGGTGTTTTCCACCGGTTTAGGGTAGGAGCCGTCGAAGTAGTGGTAGATCTGCGCTGTTTGTAGGAGGAGCTCAAGCTCGAAACTCCATGTATAGAAATCCTTGCCGTCAAATGCGACAGTAGTCTTGATCTTTGAAACGCTGAGAAAGCGTGCTTGCGTAGAATTGATGACTTCATCACTTGGACGGGGGGGGGGCAGTTGTTGTTGATTTGTCTGTGTCGATGGAGAAGGTGTGCGTGGCGGTGTCGCGGCTTTTCGTAGCCGGTTGTCCAGGTTGAGCTGGTTGGGAAGAGGTTCCCGCATCGCCTTTACGCAGTTCTTGGAGTTCTTTCTCCGTAGTAGAAAGTCGAGCGAATAGTTGCTCGAGTGCGGCAGTGCCGATCGTAGTTGTCGCCTCATTTGTCGCAGCCGTGTTGATTTGTCCTTCAGCCGTCAGATTTGCTTGGCCTCCGGATCCTCTGGCCATCTTGGTCTTGGAGCGTGTGCCGCTCGCCAGATCTAGGTTGGGCGAATTTCACGGAAGTGTTGTTGCGAAGAATCCCTGAGTAGCTCTCATACCGTGTTACAATCCCAAGTGGGACTTAGCGAAGGATCGCTCATGGTTGATCGCAGTGTAGTGTTGCAGCGGAAGTTTGAATCTCAGGCTAGAGTGAATGTAAATGACTGAGTTGGTAAAAGCATGCATACATCGGGTTTATATAAGAGTACAAGGGAATACGAAAAGACCTAGGCTATCCATGTGCTCTAAGGGGTACATTCCCTTATTGCAGCGAGTTCAAATCGTGCGGCGCGGTAACCCGTTTCAAACCTGTTCCCGCTCTTTTCATTTCAAATGTTTCTGCCTGCACCGGTCTTGGTCAGACGGTTGCTGCGTCGCTTCGACTCTTCTGGCTCTTCGACTTCGTACTCGGTGGCTCTTGCAACATACAGGAATGCATTCTCATGTAATTTCATATCGTAACATATAGAAATGCTCAAACACCATTTCGATTTTCCAGAAAAAAAAGGGATTTTCTGGGATCATAGGCCGTCCCGCTCTCAACATGAAAATGGCAATTTCAATTATTTGGACAAATGAATGAGAGAAATGAAGCTGTTATATTCGGATTACGAGTACCATATATTTATGCTTTGTCCATGTACTTTCTGTTCATGCACTCTGAAAAAGTCAACTTCGTGTAGGACGTTTTGCCGACGTGCCTAGCTGTTGACAGCTCGTCGCCAGCTGGTGATTTTGGCTTACCTCTCCCATTCGTTCAATCTGATGTTGCCGAGCCGAGGAAATCAGGATTCAGGACCTGCAGTGGTACTGTACTGTTCTAGTTGGCTTGTGACGAGATGGGACGGATGGAATTCGGGACTTTTGAGGAAACCTCGACGTCGTAATCTTTGAAACCGGGCTGATGGAATAATAGAGTGGATGCAGAGAGAGCTGGATTTTCCAGACTAGGAAGCGTTGTTTAGCGGAGAATATAAAAGTGGACTTGTAAGAGTCACGATGCTTATTTCAACAATCATCCAGGTTGTGGAATGCGGCTTGGGCTCACACATTCACGCACAAGGGCAGATCTAGAGTATAGTGCTACCCACGCGATGTTGTGTAGCTGTACGGTATAGCTGGATGGAACCAAACAAATGTCATCGGCCCGTAAGCGAGTGGTTTCATGGTCTTTTGCCCTGCTCCCTGCTCCTGACATGAATCCTCGTACAGAACAGTTATCCACTTGCCAGGTGGGTGCTTTGGTACAGCAGGTACCTCATGTACAAGGCAGGTAGAACATTTCAGTTTTCTGCCCAAAACGAGCAACTTTCAGTCAGACTGGCATCCAGATGCCATAATTAAACGTAGAAACTGGCACTACAGACATTCCACCATGAGGGCTGTCTAACAATTTTGTGTAAAAAATCGTGTGCAGTGATCGTGCACGCAACGGATATCTGATAATATTCTGTACACTAGAATTTCGTTATAAGTAACACATATTTATTTTCTCATGCATATGTTTTAGCGGGATATATTGGGACTGACCACGATAGGTCTTTTTTTGCATGGCCTCATCTGGTAACACTTTCAAAATATTTGAAGAACGGACAGATGGCAGCGTGATAAGTTGAGTGATCAACGGCTGCGATAAACAAAAGGGCCTGTACACGATGGGCCTCTGCCTGCTTTTGAACGGACGAGGGATACGGTTTCAAAGGGGAAGAGAAGTTTTGTAAGATAATGCTGGGCATCATGTGTATAGTCTGGACGAAATGAATGCATAGTGCAGAACGTGTAATAAACAACAACGGGCCCACATGTCCTTTTGAAGATAAGTTCGAGTCGCGCTGGCCGGCCAGCACCGACTCTCAGGAGGGAATGACGAATATCAGCCAACCCTCGCCACCCTCAGCCTGATTTTAGGATCCTCAAGTTGCACACACTGTTTTAATCGAAAAGTAAGCACGCTCTAGCCTCAGTCGGGTCGGGTGACTCTCAGCTCAGCGTAGGGAGACTCGTCAATGCCGCTGTACAGTACTACTCTGTGCTGCTCGAGTTTTCTTGAGGAATTCAGAGACATGCTCTCCTGCGGCGCAGATATTAGGGGTTGTTTTTTCGCAGTGCGGAGATGTTTCGGGCTCATCTGGCTTCGACATCCCTCGAACGACGCTTGGTGTTACTCGTTCTCCGAGTCACCTCGCCGAGCCCTTTTTCTGCACTGTGTTCTTGGTGATTCCTCCTCAGCGCGCCGACTCAAAGCAGCTCGAATTATGGTGTTTTTTCATCACTTTTGAGGTTACGCTTCGCTAACTCCCGAAGGTGGGCTGACATTGCTTCAAATTGTATTGCACGACATGATGCTTCCCTTAATCCGTCCGACAGTCACCGACGACCCACTTAGCGTCAAGACGGATCAACGTCATGGTTACCACCCGGCGAGTCTCGCAGCGGCAGCGACGAGGGCTTCGCACTTTCGCAGCCAATCGGAGTCTGGATTTGCCTTCGACCAGGACCGATCAGAATGTCAGAATGCATCGGAATGGGAAAACGGGAAACGCGGCGCGGGTAGCGGCGGGAACGGCGGCGGGAACGAGGGCGAGACGAGTGGAGGCGCCGTTGAGAGCAGTAGATACCTCAATAGCGCGCATCACGGCCCCTCACCGACGGCTAAGGTCTCCGTTAATAGTAACGTCGCGAACGTCGACGTTCAGCAGCTTAACCCATTACCGGCGAGCTCAAAACCTTCGAAGCCGCAATCGCCGCTGCCACGTCATCATCGTCGGTACCGGTCAGAGGACGCGTTCTCCTTCCACGAACCTTCCCCGCGCGTGGCGGCGGACGGCGCCAACACCGGCGGCAATTCTATTAGTAGTGGTAGTAGTAGCGGCGGCGGGTCGCGCGGCGGCGGCGTGATGACGATGGTGCAGCGAGGAATGCAGCTGCTGAGCACCAATGGCAGAGTCGTCGCCGGGAAAGACGGCGGACGTGACGGCGGAAGGGACGGCGGACGCGACGGTGGACGAGGCGGCAAGTCTTTTAATAGTAGTAGTAGTAGTAGTACTACGACGGTCACAGGTAGTACTAGGCATGCTGCGTCTAACGCTTCGAATGACGACAATACGATTTCGTCTGCTAGTGCTCACTCGCCGACAAGCCCTTGTGGTGGTAACCGCGACAACGGAGAGTCAACGGAAGTCGAAACTGGTCAGCAGAAGTCGCCGACGGGGTCAACGACGTCGCCGACCGGGTCAACGACGTCGCAAGCGTCGCCAGCCGGGTCAACGCGAATCGCCCGGAGCACTGTTGTCCTGTCGGCCGCTGCGGCGGCGGCGCGGAAAAGAGGGTCGAGCCGCGGGGGGTCGATCTGTCAGGAGCTGCTGCCGAGCCTGTGGGAAGAGGAGGACGAGCGCGCGGAAGGAACACCGGCGGTTGCGGACGATGGCTTGAAACAACGCGGGGTTACGTGGACGCCGGCGGAAGATGCGGAGGTGGTGGCGGCGGAAGCGGAGGCGGACATTACTGGCGGCGGGGACAGATCTGAGTATTATTTGCGGAGGAAAAGCGGAAGCGCGATTCCGCGGAGTCGGGAACGATGGCAGGCGGAAGACGATTCCGCCTCCGCAGTTCCGCGTGTTCCGAGCCCCACGGGGCTTCCGCCGCGGCCGATGTCCCCGTCAGAAGCAGACCCGTACAGCTCGTTACAGTCACGGCACGCGCAAATGTCCCCTACTACCTCCCCGCCCAACCACCGCCGCTCACACAGCAGCGGAACCTTTCTCTGGGGGGGCGGAATGATGGGGGGAGGGCTTGGGCTTCCGCCAACTAGCCCCCGAACGAGCGGGTTTGGCGCAGGTGGCGCGGGTTTTGCAGGCAGTGTCGCGCATTTGCCCCCCCTGAGCCCCAGGGCGGGCGGAAAAGGGGGCGGCGGCGGGGCGTTCCCTCTGCCCAACCTTATTGGGCGGAGCAAAACGACTGGCGGCAGCTGCGTGAGGGTTCCCGCGGGCGTGCCGCTTGCTGACGTGGCTAGCCTCCCCAGAAGCCGAACAAATTACGCGGCGATGGGGGAAGGCGGAGGGGGAGGAGGGGGGGGAGCGGGGGGAGGGGGTCGTGGGGGGGTGGGGAGAGAAGCCAGGGCGGGGGGCGGAGGGGGGAACCTCCCCTCACTGAATCGGGGGAAGGGCACTGGCGGAGGGGGTGGCGGGATCTTTAGAAGCGCGAGCAGCGGGAATATGGCGGGGATGGGGCAGAGTGGCGGGGGCATGGGGGTGAGCGGTGCGGGGATGGGGTTCACCCCCACCATGGGTACAGTGCTTGATGCAGGCATGCGGGGAACGGGGGTGCCGCGAAGCGCAAGCAGCGGGAACATGGCGGGAATGGGGCAGGGTGGCGCGGGAATGGGGTTCACCCCCACCATGGGTACGGTGCTTGATCCCGCGCGGGGGGTTGGCGGAGTCCCTAGAAGCGCCAGCAGCGGGAACATGGCGGGGAACATTGGCGGCAGCATGGGCGGCAGCATGGGCGGCAGTACGGGCGGCAGCATGGGCGGCAGCATGGGCGGCAGTACGGGCGGCAGCATGGGGTTCACTCCCACCATGGGCACGGTGCTTGGGAGTGCAGGCGTGCCTAGAAGCGCCAGCAGCGGGAATATGGGCGGCAGGGGCGCCAGTGGCGCTGGCATGGGCGGAACTGGCGCGGGCATGGGCGGGAGTGGCGGGGGGACAAGGCTCAGTGGGTTAGGATTGGGGTCACCTGGTGCGCATAAAGGGGGCGCGCACAGGAGAACAAGCAGCGTTAGCAGCGGTGGTGCTGCTGGTGGTTTCGCGACTAGCAGTGCTAGTGCTAGTGGTATGCAACAGCAGCATGGTCACAGTCAGAGCAGCCATACTAGTCCTAGCAGCAGCAGCAGTGGTGTTATGGGTCGGCACAGGCGATCTGCTAGCACAAGCTACCAGCCTGATTCCACTACCACCACCAACCTTCCTGACGTCAGTAAACTTAAGGGATTCCGAACGCCAAGAATCGTGCTTCCCCATCACGATAGCATCAGCCCTGCCACGTCACCGCATTCCACCAGCCCACGTGGCAGCAGCAGCAGCCTCGCTCCCGGTGACACGTCACTCAAGTCGCCCTACACCAGCCCGCCCAATGCCAGTCCACGTGGCACTCCGCCCTCCCCCAGTTACCGCCTCCCCCCCCATAAGTCTCCTGCCTCTGCTTCTCATGCTACCTTGCTTCAAGGCCGCATGCCCGGACCAGCACAGTTACTAGGAGGATTTACAGGAACAACAGCAGCAGCAGCAGGAGGAGCAGCACCAGTCATTCCCGCAACCTTCTCTCGCTCCCCCAGGCACCGTAGCCCCAGTGTGCTCAGCCCGAGCCTCCCCAGCCCGAAGCTGAGAAGCCCGAGCCTGCCCAGCCCCGGCGTCATCCGAACTGGCAGCTCAAGTCCGGGAGGCAACACAGCGAGCAATTTAATTGGCTTCTCGTCACCGACTTACCTCCCTAGTCCAGCTTCCTCAGCGTCTTTAAATACAAGTAGTCCGTATGCCAATTACCCGTATACCCCAGGCGGGGGTAGTGTGGTGCATAGCCCTCAATCCATGGCTGCTTTAGCAGAGAGGGACAAGCAAAAACTGGCCGAAATTCAGAGCTTCTTTGCTTCGGAATCCGGAGGGCTAGGTTTGGGAGGGCTACGCTCGGGAAGGCGAGGTTCGGGGCAGTGGGGGGTGGGGGGAACCACGCCGCTCCAGTCGCCCAGGCCTGGAATCTCCCCCAATACCTCCCCTCCTGTCAATTCACCCTCGAAAGGAGGAGGGAGAGGAGGAAGAGGAGGGAAGAAGGGAGGTATGGGGTTGTTTCTGGGTCCTATTCGCACGCCTAGCCCGAGTGAGTATTACCGGCTTGCTTCGCCTGCTGGTGGGTGGATGGGCGGGGCGTGGGGACGAGGGGAGGGAGAGCAGGAGGAGGAGGAGGGCGAGGAAGGGGGGGAGGGCGAGGAGGAAGGGGAGGAGGAGGACTGGGGGAGGTACATGGGTGGTGAGGCGTACGAGGTGAATGAGAAAGGGGAAGTAGAGGAGGGAGAAGCAGGATCCGCAGGAGCAGGAGGAGAAGCAGGAAGGACAGCAGAAAAGGCTGCGAATGTGGAGGAAGGAGGGGAGAGGACAACACGGGAGCAGGGAAATGTGACTAAAGAAGCTGCAGCAGCGGCACAAGGGAAGGGGGCTGTGGTAGTCCCAGTACAAGCAGCCGCAGGCGAAGCTGCCAGGAAGGAGCCAGCAGGAGCCACGCAAGTGGTCACTACCCAAGGGATCAAGCAAGGAAAGGCAGATGTGAAATCCTCGGTGCAAGCAGGAGCAGCAGCAGCAGGAGGAGGAGGAACGGCGGACGCGAGAACTATGGTGCAAGTGGGAGCAGGCGAAGCTGCCATGAAAGAGACAGCAGCAGCAGGAGGAGGAGGAAAGTCAGACGTGAAAGCACTGGTGCAGGCAGCTCTGTCGGAGTGGCGGAGGAAGGAGGAGGCGGCAATGCAGCAGCAGGCAGCGTCGGTGCTGGGCAGGGGATTGTCGGATGTGCGCAAGGTGTATCAGCTGGGGAAGGAGCTGGGGCGGGGCAACTTTGGGGTGATTCGCGAAGCGGTTGACTGGGTGTCCGGGGAGCGGTTTGCTTGCAAGAGTGTCAATAAGAAGCGGTTAGAGGTGAGTTAAGAGGAGTTGGGAGGGGTGTAGTGTAGGGTAGTGGCGGGGTAGGGGAGTGTGTGAGGCGAGCAAGATCCAAGAGTGGGAGCAAGAAACGGAGGGAGGTACGCAGGTGTGGGTGCGAGAGGGGCGTGTGGGTGTACTAGCTGGGGAAGGAAGGAGCTCGGGTGGGGGAGCTCTGGGGGGGGCTCCCGGGGAGCTCTGGGGGAGCTCTGGTCTGGGGGAGCTCTGGGGGAGCTCTGGTCTGGGGGAGCTCTAGTCTGGGGGAGCTCTGGTCTGGGGGAGCTCTGGTCTGGGGGAGCTCTGGTCTGGGGGAGCTCTGGTCTGGGGGAGCTTGAAGCGGGAGATTGAGCGAGTGCTCCAGAAAAACAAGCCCTTCATTCCAGCCCACTCCCTCCTCTCTCTTGCCCGCCACGTGCCTCCTACCTGTCAGTGTCTGGACGAGCTAGATGATCTAAGGAGGGAGGTGGAGGTAGGTGGTGCGAGTGCTCAAGGGATGCGAATCGCTTTGACACCAAGCCCCTTAGCCCTTTCCTCTTCTCTTCTCTGTATCCTCCCCTTACCTCCCCCAGTGCTTGGGTGATCTGGAGGGTCTGAGGAGGGAGGTGGAGGTGATGCGACTACTCAAGGGTTGCAGAGCTCGTTAAGACCAAGCCCCTCAACCCTCTCTTCTTCGCTTCTCCTTCTCCTCCCCTCGCTGCCTCTCCCAGTGCTTGGACGATCTGGAGGACCTCAGGAGGGAGGTGGAGGTGATGCGATTATTCAAGCGAGGGATGCATTTCACTCTGAAGCGCACCCCTCAACCCCCTCTTCGTTTCTTGCCCTTCTCCCGCTCCCCTTGCTGCCTGTCAGTGCCTGGACGATCTGGAGGACCTGAGGAGGGAGGTGGAGCCTGGAGGTGATGCAATTGCTGAAGGGAGGGATGCTTTTCGCTCAACAGTCTCCTCTTTTCTTCTCCCGCTCCCCTTGCTGCCTGTCAGTGCCTGGACGATCTGGAGGACCTGAGGAGGGAGGTGGAGGTGATGCGATTGCTGAAAGGCCATCCCAACATTGTGTCGCTTGTGGATACCTATGAAGATGACACGGTGAGTTGACACTGGAGATGACACGGTGAGTTGATACTGGAGATGACACGGTGAGTTGACACGGCCTTCCATTAACGCTGCCTCAAACTCACTTCTGAGCCGCCTCAGAAGTTTGTTTGTGCCTTGAAGAAATGATACCTGCCCTACGGAAGACAGGAGTGTTTTTGAGACGTCTCGAAAACACTCTTATTTCAGAAGTTTGTTTGTGCCTTGAAGAAAGGATACCTGCCTTACGGAAGACCTTCCATTAACACCACCTCAAGCTCACAACGCCTCCCCTTGTGCTCATCACCCTGTGCGCTCCATATACTGTCAGCATCCCTCTTTCAAAGCCACCATAGACACACAACCTCTTTTTATCAACCCATTACCCCTGTGGGCACATCAGCACAGCGTGCAAGGAATGATGTGTGGGGAATGATGATGCGCCCAAGTGGAGAGGCCTACTTCCTCTCTCCTCTGTGTGAGCAAAAAGAGTTCACAAAAAACAGCTCCTCTCTGAGAGCAAAGAGCAAAGAGCAAAGAACTCTTTTTGAAGGCGGAGAGCTATTCAATCGTATTGATGGAACGAACACCACTTGGGTGCCGTGGCCCTCGTCTCCCCTCAACAGCTTGTCAACTCCCTTTCTCCCTTCCCCGGGTCCCCCCCTCCCCCTAGGACGTGCACATAGTGATGGAGCTCTGTGAGGGTGGAGAGCTCTTTGATTGCAATGACTGATCAAGCAGCCCTGTGAACCCTGCCCCTCTTCTCTTCCCCTCCCTGCCCCCCTTCCCCGGGTCCCCACCTTTGCCAGGATGTGCACATAGTGATGGAGCTCTGTGAGGGTGGAGAGCTCTTTGATCGCATCGTCGCGCGCAACCACTTCAGCGAAAGACAAGCAGCACAGGTAGGCATAGGCGGCACCCTCGCGTGCTACCGTTTGTTTGTTTTTTTTTTTTTTTTACCAGAGTTGAGAAACCACGCAGGTGTGCCGCACCCCTAACCAGGTGGTCGATATTACTCTTCTTTTAGGCCTAAATTCTTTTATGCTCCTTCGAAAACACCTCTGAAAACCTCTGACTCGCAACATCTCGATTGAATACACGACTGGAAACCCAATGCTCGTCGCAATGCACAGCAACAAGCTTTTCTCGTGCTTCCCCCGTTTCAAACCCGCACAGGTGTGCCGCACTCTGGCCGACGTGCTGCGCTACTGCCACTCGCACCACATCCTGCACCGCGACTTAAAGCCCGAGAACGTGCTGCTTGTGTCGACACGTAGCGACACGCGTGTGAAGGTGATCGACTTCGGCATGGCCTACCGCTTTCAAGACGGCGAGCGCTGCACCCAACGTGCCGGCACTCCGAATTACATCTCTCCCGAGGTCATTGCGAAGAATTACGGGACCGAGGCGGACGTGTGGAGCTTAGGGGTGATTCTCTATGTCATGCTGTGCGGGCTGCCGCCGTTTTGGGGCGATACGACGGAGGAGATTTTCTCGAGTATTCTTTACGAGCCGTTGGATCTGGAGACCGAGCCTTGGCCGGACGTGTCTGCCGCGGCGAAGGATCTGGTTCGGCGGATGCTATGCCGGAGGTTCGACGAGCGGATTACAGTGCCGGAGATACTGAGTGAGTTGGCATTGGCGTGTGTGGTGGGTGCTCGTGGGGATACCAGCAGGGCTGTGTGTGTTGCTGCCCACTCCCCTTTCATCCATCAGTGTTTCCTCTGTGTGTGAGGTGCCGTATGGGTGTGTGCCATATTGTGCTGTTTTGGAGGTTTGACGAGCGGATCACGGTCCTGGGGATACTGAGCGAGTTGGCGTTGGTTTGTTGGGGCTGCTTGCGTTGCTGTTCACTCCGCTTTCATCTATCAGTGTTCCCGCGGTATGTGCTGTCCTGTGAGGTGCTGTACCGTGCTGTGCCATGTTGTGCTGTGTCGGAGGTTCGACAGGCGGATTATGGTCCCCGAGATACCCAGTGAGTCGTTGTTAATGTGCGGGCTGTTTGTAAATGCTGCTTGCTTACTTGCTCTATCCCATGAATCATCATTCCCACTGTATTGTGCTGTGCTGTGCTGTGGGGTGCTGTACCAAGGTGTGCTGCTGGAGATACTGAGTGAGTCGTTTCTGTTGTGCGGGATTGTGATGCTGCTTTCTTGCTTGCTCTATCCCATGAATCAGCATTCCCACTGTATTCTGCTGCGCTTCGCTTTGCTTGGCTTTCCCCCTCCAACCTCCTCCCTCCCTACTCCTTCCCCGTGTCCCGTCCCTTCTGCTTTCCCCATGTCCCAACCATGCACTGTGTGGACAACTCTGTTATTGCGAACTAAATGACGCAACAGAGCATCCATGGATTAAAGCCCTCACATAGATTTTTGTGTCAAACTATATGTTTGTGTTCTCTCTAGGCTATAGTAGGTTAGCCTACAAGGGGTACAACACTTTAGGGTTAGTAATTGTACCCAACTCATTCATAGTTCATACATTCCTGCATAGTTGATTCTGACATGGTATTCAGAGCAGGAAACCTGTTAAGTTTTTAGGGCCCACCAATAGTTCTGCTCGTTCCTGCCCGAAGCGCCCCTGCGCTGTCCGGCCCTGCTCGCACAGTGTCGAGCTGCCCTGCAGCTACTCGCACTGCCTGCCCTAGCGCGCTCCCCTGCTGCAGCTCGCGCGCGCGTTCTGCTGTTGCCTGCGAGTCGCGCCCTGCTGCCCTGCCCAGAGCGCGCCGCCCTGCCCTGCAGCCCGCGCCCAGCTGCCCTGCAGCCCGTGCATCGCGCTGCCCTGCCCTTAGGCCCGCGCGCCGCCCTGCCCTGCAGCTCGCGAGCCGCGCTGCCCTGCCCTTAGGCCCGCGCACTGCCCTGCCCTGCAGCCCAGCGCGTCGCGCCCTGCTGCCCTGCCCAACGCGCGCCCCACTGCCCTGCGTGTCGCGCCCTGCTGCAGCCCGCGCGTCGCGCCCTGCAGCCCGCGCGTCGTGCCCTGCTGCAGCCCGCGTGTCGCGCCCTGCTGCAGCCCAGCGCGCCGCGCCCTACTGCCCTGCCCAGCGTGCGCCCCACTGCCCTGCAGCCCGAGGCGCACCCTGCCTTGCCCAGCCGCGCCGCCCAGCCCTGCCGAGCCGCTCCGCCCAGGCCGAGCCGCGCTGCCCAGCCCGAGCCGCGCTGCTTAACCCGAGCCGCGCCGCCCTGCCTCATTTGCCAGCCCCACCGAGCCGCCCTCCTGCTAGTACTGTTGCTGCTGCTCGTGCTACTGCTTCTGCTGGTGGAGGTGCTGTTGGGAGTGCTGGAGGTGCTATTGGTGCTGAAGGTGCTGGACCTGCTACTGACCGTCACTGCCTATCATGGCCACTATCACGGTAGTTGCAGAGGCTAGGGGTGGACAGCAGCAGTCACTACCTCTCCCGGACAATCCCACCCCTCAGCAGCTTCGTGAGTGGGTTATTCAGCAAGGCCGTCCTGGTGGTGGAGGTTTTGGTTTTATGTATACTGGACAGCGGCGGCAGCGGCGTCAGCAGGAGACCTTCTCCCCGCATCGGCTTTGCGACTGTGTTTCTCAGCGAGGCGTCCATGGGTGTGTAGAGGCTGCTGCTCTAGGTGCTAGTGAGTCTGCTGCCGCTCCAGGTGCTAGTGAGTCTGTTGCAGCTCTAGGTGCTAGTAAGTCCGCTGCCGCTCTAGGTGCTAGTGCGTCTGCTGCAGCTCTAGGTGCTAGTGCATCTACCGCCACTGGTCCTGCCTCAGCTGAGGCCTTGCACACTTTCACACTTGACTCAGGAGCGTCACGTTGCTTCTTTCGTGATTGCACCATAGTCACACTGCTCGCAGCACCTGTCCCAGTCTCACTGGCTGACCCCACTAGGGGCCCAGTAGTTGCACGAGCCTCCACTGTCCTCCCGTGTCCGGCAGTCCCCTCCGGATCTCTTTCAGGTCTCCACCTCCCCGCGTTCTTGCGAACTTGTTGAGCAACGCTGTTCTCCAGGATATATGGGTTGACACCTTCATTCCTGGAGGACAGCGTGTGATGAGCTGTACGTGCTCACGGACTGGCCGTCACCTTGCTAAGTTGACTCGTCAGCCTGGGTCCAGTCTGTACACACTGACCACTGCGTCTGCACAGGTGGCTGAGTCAGGTCAGGTGGCTGCGTCGAGTCGGGTGTCTGCGTCTGGTCAGCATGCAGCCTCTTGCTCGTGTCGGGTACTCTCGCACCCCTCGCTGCCGCGTCTCCGCAGCATGCACTCCCGTCTCCTTATCTCTGGCCTTCCCAGGTCCCTGCCCTCCCTCCCGCGCTCGCCTGCACCGCCGTGCCTTCTCTGCGTCGAGGGGCGGCAGCGCGCCGCTCCTCACTTCTCCGAGTTTCGTCCGACCACTGCTCCTCTGCAGACTCTCCACATGGACGTGTGGGGCCCGGCCCCCGTCGGTGGAACAGACCAAGAGCGCTACTTCCTGCTGGTGGTTGACGACTACACACGCTACACCACTGTCTTCCCCTTGCGACACAAAGCAGACGTCAGTGGTGTTTTGATCCCTTGGATCCGTGCTACTCGTCACCAGCTGCGCGAGAGGTTTCGGCGGGACTTGCCAGTCCTGTGTCTGCACTCTGACAGGGGCGGTGAGTTCTCTTCTAGCCTCCTTGAGACGTTATGTCGAGACGACGGCATCCGCCAGACACTCACGCTTCCTGCCTCTCCTCAGCAAAATGGGATTGCTGAGCATCGCATGGGCTTGATCATGGAGGTTGCTCGTACCTCTATGATCCATGCGGCTGCTCCCCATTTTCTGTGGCCGTTTACGGTCCGATACGCTGCGCATCAACTCAACCTCTGGCCTCGTGTCTCTGAGCCAGAGACCTCGCCCACACTCCGGTGGACGGGGAAGGTTGGCGATGCGTCGGCGTTTCGGGTCTGGGGCGCGCTCTCCCTTGTTCGCGATGCCAAAGCGAGCAAGCTCTCCCCTCGCACTCTCCGCATCATCTTCCTTGGCTTCCCCACCGACGCCCCGCCGTGGCAGTTTTACCACCCTCGCAAGCGTCGTGTTTTCTCCTCCCAGGACGTCACATTTGACGAATCTGTCGGTTTCTATAGGCTCCACCCGCACGCGTCCCACTCGGTCCCTCTAGCGCCTCTCTTCCTGGTACCAGTCCCCCCCCGGTAGACCCCCTCCCCCCGCAGGGTCCTGCTCCCTCAGGTGTGTTCCAGGTAGACCCACCCCCCTTGGATGAGCCTATGGAGATCTCCTCTAACTCCTCTGGCCCAGCTGAGGGGGGTGACCCCGCCGCTGACGACACGGCGGCCACTCGCCGCTCTCCTCGCTTGGAGACCCCCCCTGGTTTTCCGCCTCGGCCGTCTTCGCCGCCTCCGCAGCGTGTTGCTGTGGGCTCTAGTGCTACTGCGGGTGGTGACACTGGGGGTGCTGACTCTGGGGGTGCTGCGACTGGAGGTGCTGAGACTGGGGGTGTTGCGAGTCCTAGTGGCGGTGGAGGTGTGGGTGACCCTGCTGGAGGTCTTGGAGTTGGACAGCCACAGCGGCCTGGTCTACACGAGATGCGCTCCCCGTAGTGGCTTCGTGAGTGGATCGTCCAGCGAGGCCGTCCTGGTGGTGGTGGGTACGGTCCTGGTGGTACTGGAGGTACTGCTGGTGCTGGAGGTGCTGGAGTTGTCAGTCCTGGAGGTCCTATTGGAGGTGCTGCTGGTGCTGGAGGTACTAGAGGTGCTGGAGCTGCTACTACTGGAGGTGCTGAAGGTGCTGGAGGTGCTGGAGGTGCTGCTAGTGCTGGAGGTACTGGAGGTACTGCTGGTGCTGGAGGTGCTGGAGCTGCCAGTCCGGAAGGTCCTACTGGAGGTGCTGCTGGTGCTGGAGGTCCTAGAAGTGCTGCTGGTGCTGGTGCTGGAGGTACTGGAGGTGCTACTGGTGCTGGAGGTACTGGAGCTGCTAGTCTTGGAGGTGTTGCTGGTGCTGGAGGTGATGGAGCTGCTACTACTGGAGGTGCTGAAGGTGCTGGAGGTGCTGAAGGTGCTGCTAGTGCTGGAGGTACTGGAGGTACTGCTGGTGCTGGAGGTGCTGGAGCTGCCAGTCCTCGAGGTCCTACTGGAGGTGCTGCTGGTGCTGGAGGTCCTAGAGGTGGTGTTGGTGTTGGTGCTGGAGGTACTGGAGGTGCTATTGGTGCTGGAGGTGTTGGAGCTGCTAGTCTTGGAGGTGCTGCTGGTGAAGGAGGTGCTGGAGCTACTACTACTGGAGGTGCTGGAGGTGCTAGTACTGGAGGTACTGGAGCTGCTGCTAGGAGTGCTGGAGGACCTGCTGGTGTGCTTGGCCACCTTCTCGGTCTTCCGCCAGCTCCTACTGACTTCCCTGTCGCTGGTTCTACTCCTCCGTTACTTTTCCCACCGACAGACCTGTCTCAGCCACAGCTACTGCCTCACTCCCCACTACCTGCTCCTGCTCCTTACACTGAGGTCACAGAGTCCCTGACTGAGCGTCGAGAGCCTGAGACTCGTGCTTCCATTCCTGAGTATCGAGAGGCTGAGACTAAAGCTTCCGTTCCTGCTCGTGTTCGTCGTGTGCGTCGTCCTCGTGCTCTAGCTGTCCCAGGGACTCACGATATGACACTCCGTCCTTCCTCTGTTCCACGGCGTGTTGTCCTTCCGTCACCTCCTGCGTCTTCTCTTCCTGACGTTGCTGATCCTCCTTCTGACCTTGCTCGTGCTTCCAGTCTGACTGTCACTCGCTTTCTTGCTACAGTTGTGACG